CACAGTGCACACGCGTCTTTCACGCAGCATACAGCGGTGTTGTGCATTTTGACCAGTTGATGGGACAAGTATTCTTAAAATGCATTCAAAATTCTGAATAATTTGTAATATATAATTATTCACGGTATTTAGAAGTGCCCATGATAACAATATTGTGCATATTCATTACCGGGATATATCGTATTACCGAATACCAGCACAAGTCTAAGTGTAACAGACAAGAGCAATTTCTTTGTAAACAAGTGGGATGCTTTTTTTACGAAAACGTGTTTAAAAATCTGTTTGATATTTATGGTTTTTAGGAGTACACGTAACAATGTTTGTAAGCTAGTATTGGTGTAATGCTAACTATATTTGATGTGTTTTTTTTTGGGGCGGGGCATTGTAATGTGTAAAATGTTTCATGTTGTTTCATGTAAATGCTAAGAAATATCGCAGAATGAGTTGAAATGCAAACGTTTTTCATAGTATTTATAGTGTACGAAATCCAGTAAGGTTTCTTTCTTAACCTTTGAGAAATGTTTCAGGGCACTTTGTTAGATGTTCAAGGTTTTTAGACATAGTAGCAGAAAAGCTTGTTAGTTTGTTGTTTTGACAATCTAAAACAAAAAACATTGTGTAAAATGTACCATGTTGGTTTAAGTAAATTCTAAAAAAAAAATATATATATATATATAGGAGACTGAGTTAAAATGGGTAAGTTCTTTTTCTAAATATTTGTATGAAATTCATTAAGATTTCTTTCTTCAATTTTCAGGAATGTTTCTTGGCAATTTATTAAAAGTTTTTAGAAGTAGCAACAACAAACAACCTAAATGGAAAGAGTGTTTGTTTGTAAACTAGTGTTTGTGTCGTGCAACAACAATAATCTAGTGAGTAAAGAGTAGCTTAGGGTAACAGAAAGGAGCAATTTCTTTGTAAAATAACATTCAGATATGAAAAAAAAAAAACGGTTTGATATTTTATTTATAGTTTTTAGTAGGCCTGGGCGATAAAACGGTATCGATATTTATCGACGGTACACCGTATTCGTTAACGATAAAAAAATGTTCGATATAGTGCACGATATAGGCACGTGCTATGAGTGACACAGACAGCACACACAAACACGAACACATGCTGAAATGAGTGCTGTGCCTGCCTGTGATGAGGAGATTGTGAATAAAAAAAATGAATATTAGTCGAATTTAAAATAAACATTTGCATTTGAATGTTAGGTGTGCGTCAGGGAGCGTCATCAGTGGAGCACGAGATGCGGTGATGATGTAAGTGACGTTGCATTTTAATGTTTTGTTAGTCTAGCCCACTGCAAACGTTTTTCATAGTATTTATAGTGTACGAAATCCAGTAAGGTTTCTTTCTTAACCTTTGAGAAATGTTTCAGGGCACTTTGTTAGATGTTCAAGGTTTTTAGACATAGTAGCAGAAAAGCTTGTTAGTTTGTTGTTTTGACAATCTAAAACAAAAAACATTGTGTAAAATGTACCATGTTGGTTTAAGTAAATTCTAAAAAAAAAATATATATATATATATAGGAGACTGAGTTAAAATGGGTAAGTTCTTTTTCTAAATATTTGTATGAAATTCATTAAGATTTCTTTCTTCAATTTTCAGGAATGTTTCTTGGCAATTTATTAAAAGTTTTTAGAAGTAGCAACAACAAACAACCTAAATGGAAAGTGTTTGTTTGTAAACTAGTGTTTGTGTCGTGCAACAACAATAATCTAGTGAGTAAAGAGTAGCTTAGGGTAACAGAAAGGAGCAATTTCTTTGTAAAATAACATTCAGATATGAAAAAAAAAAACGGTTTGATACTTTATTTATAGTTTTTAGTAGGCCTGGGCGATAAAACGGTATCGATATTTATCGACGGTACACCGTATTCGATAACGATAACTTTTTTTTCGATATAGTGCACGATATAGGCACATGCTATGAGTGACACAGACAGCACACACAAACACGAACACATGCTGAAATGAGTGCTGTGCCTGCCTGTGATGAGGAGATTGTGAATAAAAAAAATGAATATTAGTCGAATTTAAAATAAACATTTGCATTTGAATGTTAGGTGTGCGTCAGGGAGCGTCATCAGTGGAGCACGAGATGCGGTGATGATGTAAGTGACGTTGCATTTTAATGTTTTGTTAGTCTAGCCCACGAGACGCGCCGCTGTTGTGTTATGCATTCAAAATATTAGAGAAATATAGAAGCTCAATGCGGAGAAGATCTTGACTAGGTGAAAACCGTAACCAAGCCAATCACACAGAACGCATATTCAGTGCATTTTTAGACCGACAAATACGACTGCTGCACTCGCGTCTCACACAAGAGATGTAGACTCCTTTTCACTGCGTCTCATGTTTTTAAATGCAATCTGCATGATGGGCGATTCGACTCTTTGTATTAAGCATGATGCAACTACATAATGCTGTTTTGTTCATAATTGTTTATGCAATTTACGAAATTATATTTGATTTATATGAGTTAATTTAGACGTAATGCAGGTTTTTTTTATAGACCTTTATTTCTTTGCGTTCACAATTTAAATGTGCTGCATTATTTTGCTCATTGCGCCCTCCTGTGGCCTCGGGAGACAAGCCAAAAGTTTCATTAAGACCTATTTAATCTGCATATAAAACATTAGAAATTAGATATTTGTTTAATTTTTATTGTGAGTTTGACTGTTAAAAAAAAAATATTTGTTGTTTGTCTCAATAATAAATTGGGTTAATTTAAAAATACAGTGATTTAAATTAAAAAAAAAATTCCTATTGCTCTTTGTTTTTAAAAAGGTTATAAAAAAAATGTCAATAATTATCGATACTGAACGATATGAAACATTATATCGTTGATACATTTTTTTAGCTATATCGCCCAGCCCTAGTTTTTAGACATAGCATGTGTACGAACAACGTAACAGGAAAGAGTGTTTGTTTGTAAACTAGTGTTGTTGTAATGGTAACTTTTTTATGTTTTCATTGTTTTCCTATAAAATATCGCAAAATTGAGGGAAATCAAGTTTGAATTTGTTTAAATGTTTATGTTACAAGGTACTTTGTTATAAAACATTTAAGGTTTTCAGTAGTAATAAACGTAACCGCAAATGCATTGTTTGTTTGTAAACTTGTTTGCTCATCGCAAACTTGCTTTTGAAATGTGTAAACTGAACCTTGTTCATTTACATATTGTAAATAACTTTAAATTTGAAATAGTTGGGCTTTTCACAATATTCCTAAAGTTTACGATAACTAAGACTTTTGAAAAGAGTCACATGTGTATGAACCAAAGATAACAGGAGTGATTGTTTGTAAACTATATTTAAAGGTCACTTTCTCCGACATTTTTGCTGTCAAATAAATTGTAATAAAGTTTATGAAGATTACCAATTGTAATTCTAATTGTTACGTAACGTCAAATATGCCATGTTGGTTTATGTAAATACCACAGCAGTAGTGATTAAAATTTTTTACAAATGCAAAAATTTGTATCAAATTTTACATTAGAAATTGCATTGTACATTGTTTCTTGTGGTTCTGGTTGATGGATCTGTTGTGAATCGAATGTGTTTCCAGGTCGCCGAGCAAGCCTCTGGTCAGAAGACTGATGAGCGGTTTGGACTGGGAGACCGTCAGCAGGAATTCCCTCTCGGACGACCGGCTGGAGACTCAGAGTCTGCCGAACCGTTCTCCACCAGACTCGCCCGATCAGTGAGTTAACACGCACTCACAAACTAACCCACATAATGCAAGTCCATCCAGTCTGTGGGTTAGCGCTCCATTTATGTTTTTAATTTCTTTCTTTGCTCAGCAGTAACTCAGTGCTCACCACAGACGGGGTGCGGGTCAGGCCTTCCTCCATTGGCCACCTAGTTGATCACGTGATCGATGACTCGCCATGCCAGACGTTCACCAATCACAAGTCTGCGTCCTCCACACAGGCCAACAGCATCAGCCTGGACTCGACACCGTGAGTTTTGAACTTTCTGTCAGTATAAGTGAAACTGTGCTTCAACTTTTGCACAGTTTCACTGTGCAGTTTCACTGAATAAAAGAACAAACTTTTATTCTATTCAATAACTTGGGAAAGAAACAATCACATATATCATATATCATGCGAATATGGCAATGATAATAATTGCTAGATTTGTAGTATTTTTGAATACTGAACATTCTTACAGTAAAATTTGTAACTTTTAAACTATTTAGATAGTCAATTAATTTGTTGATTTATTTTTTTAAATGATTAATTTAATGATTCATTAAAGCTAATTTTATCTCCAGTATTTCTTGTACAGTGTGTCTTGTAAATTGATGGTTGTAAAACGAATTTTTTTTTGTAAAATTTACAAAAGTAAATTTACACTATACATTTAATCTAAAAAGGTTAAAAATATATATGTATAGATTTATAGATTTTATTGCTTTTTATTTGTAACCCTAACATTTTGTTAATCGTTTGTAAAAAAACAAAACAAAATAAGTTTGTGTAAACTATTGCATTTAGTTTAATTCATAAGTTTATAGTTTGTGTTTAAGCATGTTTTTCTTGTACAATGTGCAAAATTGAAGGTTGTAAATCAAAAAATGTAAATATACACTTTACATTTTGTGCGGAAAAGGTTTAAAATATAAATGTTACAATGTAAGTGTAAAAACAGTCAATGATTACATTAATTTTCAGTGGTTTAGTAGTTCCAGTCCTAACTTTTTGTTAATTATTTGGAAAAAATAAAAATTATTTATTTATTATTATTATTATTTTTTTTTTATTCAAATATAAATATGTGTAAACGATTACATACAAAATCTAAATGTTACAATATAATTGTAAAAACACTTACAGTTCATTTTCAGATTTCAAGTTACACAAACATTTTCAGTTGGCATAAACTATTGCATTCAATTTAATATGTAAAGTTATAGTTTATGCATACAGCCTTTTACACAAGACATACATCTGTTTATCACAAACTTTCATCCTCTTCAGTGTTTCATACAACTCAATTTTTAGAAAATTTTTTTTATTATCAACCCGAGACGTTTAGTTTTTTGGCCTTAGTGGTTACCTTGTGAAATTAAGCCACATGAATGTTCCCCCCGGTGCAACTACAAAGCTAAATGTTATGATGCTAAATCATCCACATTGTATTTATGTTTACCTGTGTGTTTCCTGTAAAAATTCTACTTGGTATAATAATCACTTATCTATCACCCCTTTAATCCTGTCATGTGCAGTTGGATAATTTTATTATTTGTATTCAGGGTTCTAGATTCTGATCTACCCAGTGATGCGTTTTCAGCACACAAGGGCTGGACTGACACACTTTGAGTCATCAAAGTTTCCGCTGCGAAATGTTGTTCTTATTTTAGCACCACACAGTAGACGCACACTCTCTCTGGCAACCTGAGGTTTAATATTGTATGACCACACACCTCTGATGAAATTACACGTTCGTGGTTCGACACTGTTTTCACACACATTTCAGTTTGAGAAACGGCGAGCGTTTGAACTAGGGGAAATTGCTTTCAGCTTTGTGGTGGGCACAGTTCAGTGTGTTACGGTGGCACGACTGATTGAATTTACGCCGATAAACCCAGCACCATTTTCCATTGGAATAATCTGCGACCACGCATTTCCTTTCTCAGATCATGCCATCTCATTTCGCAATGTCAGAATTTCCAGATCTAGGCTGGCCAGTTCACTTTCGATTCATTGCGTGCATCGATTGCTCTTTGATGTGGAGTTCTCATGTTCTACATAAAGATTAGAGTTTTAAAGAGTCTTGCTTCTTATCTCTTTTTTGACCTGATTATGAAAAGAAATGGCTGTGCTTGTAAGGTGAAATGTAGTGGTAGACGAATCACAGTTTAGTTCAAAATTCAGTAGATGCAAGCAGCAATAGCCTGAACAAAATTCAGTATGCAAATAATTGGAAGAAAGTAAGGTCCAACTAAAATTATTATGCAATTATGACAATGATATCATTGCTAGATTTTGTTTAGTTTTGTTAAGTGTACACTACATTTAGTGTGCAACAGATTTAAAATGTAAATGTTACAATGTAACATTTTCGTTGTAATTTTTATTGCTTTGTTTTTGTAGTCATTCACATAAACATAATTGCGCTAATTGTCACATTAAAATCACTTCATAAGTTTAGAGTTAATGCGTTAAAATTTTTCAGTTTGAACACCTAGTAAGTGAAGTCCTGTAGTTTAGTTAATCATAGGGGTGGCTCGATACCACTTTTTCAGAACCGATACTGAGCCGATACCAAAAATTCTGAGTATCTGCCGATACCGATATCGATCCGATACCAGCACAGTTTTTTTAAATCAGTGTAGAATTTCTATACCTCAATGTGTAGGTCGATCATCACTCTTTTGTATGTTACACACAATCTACTAAATATAGACAGCTTCATTATAAAGAAAAAACAACAAACAAAAAAAAAAATATATTCATCTATGACAAAAATACTGTTAAAAAACTAGGTTAATGGATAATTCTGTAGCAAAAGTTACTCTAGAAAAATCATGAGTGCACAATAATTTTATAAAATCCTAAAATTTTAGTGAAAAAAAAC